TCCTGTCCTGCAGTCAACCTCCGTCCTGTTGAGCGGCAGGACAGGACGAAAAATGGCGTACCCTCCTGTCCTGCCGCACAGGACAGGACAGGACACAGGACGGCCGTACCGTCCTGTCCTGTGCTCATCTCTGATATAAAAGCATAACTATAACAGACAATAGCAAAGCAAATATATTTGCCTGCATTTTAACCTTATTCTCCAAATTAGAATATTTCCATGATAGGGCAACTTTTTGGTATCAACCATTATTTCAAATTCCTTCAACTATTTTCTGTTTAACTCTGTTAGAATTGCATGTCACATTGAAGAAGTTTACCGATTGTTTTTATTTACTTAATGGTCGTTTCGATTCACTTCAAACACTTTTTGTTAACATTGATCGCATTTTATCTCCACACATAATAATTGATAATAAAGTAAATGGTACAATTTAATATCTAATATATTCAAATAAATTGATTTATTTTTTTTTTAGAAACAACTATCCAACCTAAAACTTGTTTCGCTCTATTCTGAACTGAATACAGATAAGTATAATGAATTGATTGTATCACTTCTACATCGAATGACCAATCTAGAAGAACTCGATTTACATCTTGTCGTGTATTGTGAGAAAAGATTTATTGATGGTTATGATTTGAAAAACAATATTATCAATCATTTATTACGATTAAATAAATTTCTATTTAACATACGATCACGTCTGCTTCTAAACGATCAAGTTTATTTATCATCAAATGAAGATTGTCAACTTTCATTCAATGGTTTTAAAAATTTAAAAATTATTTCATGTGTTGATTATTTCCCAAAATGCAAAGAAGATCAATGTCATATTTATTCATATCCATATCAAGCAAAATATTATGAATCTATTACAAATAATTTCCCAGACGGATTATTTAAATATGTTCGTGAAGTCTCATTATATGACGAACGTCCTTTTGAACATGAATTCGTTGTGAAAATTGCTAAATCGTCCATTTATGGAAGGATTAACCGTAAACAATGATAAGCCACAGAAGAAAAAATTTGATGAACTATCAAAAGATGGTAATCGCCATTTCCCAGTTATTCAATATCCTTATCTTAGTACAGTTGATTTGTTTAACATTCATGATGATTATACGGAGCAAATTCTACTGGATGTCAAAACGTGTTTAAGAATAAAGCTCAATCTCCAAGCCTGCTTTTCAGCTTTGGATAGAGTAACACACAATTTTACAAGAGATGCAACACGAATCAATTGTGTCAAATTACTTGATATACTTGTGCCTCGTAATATATTGATTTCAAAGCAGCTGAAAGACTATTTTCCTGATACGAAAATTTGTTCTGTAATTCTGTAAATAAAACTTATTAGAAGTAGATGGATTAAAATGAATTGAAGATATGTAAAATAAAATAAAGGTGAAATGACTTGTTTTACATGCCATTTGAGAGAAAAAGACTCTTGAGGAATCTCAAAATGATTTCATTTGAAAAGTGTTTATTTAGAAATTTGAAAAATAAAAATTTATAAGATTTTGATTATTATAAATCAGAGATGTCGGACGGGTTGGATAGCCTGTTTCAAAAATTCCAACCCTGGTACACTCACTAAAATGAAAGATTATATTTTGTCGAGTAATTCATGAGTGATCCTTGGGTTGACTCATAAAATTAACTACATTTCTAAGAAAATATTTACAAAAGGATTTCTGCGATGAAGATGTCGTTACAACATGACATATGCTATCCATTAACGCCTCGATAACTACTGCTTGGTCAGATGATTAAAGAGACTTCTTTTTCCAAGCTAAAGTTCCCTTATTTTTCGTTTTTTCTGCTATACATATGCTTCTAGTTGTCGTCTATCTATTGAGCACATTTAAAGTATTCAAATTTAGCTTTGTAGTTGGAAAAAACGAAAAAATATAACGTTTTTTCTATGAAAGCTGCTACACCTTTTTTCGTTCTTTCAAACTTTTTTAAACGCAGATTTTGAAGGAAAAATCTTGATAATCGTTCTCGTTTCTCAAAGACAGTACAACTGGTCATGCTGAAATCTTTTTTTTACAGATAGTGAAAGTACTTTGGGATGAATAATTCTTTTTATTTAAAAAATTCATGAACCGTTAGTTCTTGGATGAGGCCTTACATGATAAGCACTGTTAAAAAAACTAGGTAGTTTTTCAGATGCTCTTCGTATGTTGACTGTTTTCGAAAAGAACAAAACAGAAAGAAACTAGACACCCGGAAGTGTTTCTAATATTCGTCAGAAAATATTCAACCTATCGGACGTATTGTGGCTCAGAAAGAGAACGAAAAGGTGGATTCTTGTTAGCGCTTGCGACTCGATTATCTGTTACAGGAAAGTATTTCGAGATTTTGAGTCTATGAGAACTTTTGTTATACTCATGAAGGAATATCCATCTTGATGTTTTCAGAATATTTCGCTAAATTGTTCTCAAAAAATGCCGGAAATGGGGTCTCTTAAGTTTAACATACATACAGTATACTCATTTCTTTTTTCTCACTGTGGAAATTTGTTTTCTTCGTCGTCAGAGTTGATCTCACTACTTTGTTAACTATGTCTTATTCTCATAGTTTGGATTCTATCATTTCTTTTATTCGTGATACATCTACCTCTTCAATACGTTCGTGGCTTTGTTAGACGTACATACAGTATTCTCTTCTTCATTTATATTGTATTGTGTCCTCGTTAATACTCATAAGTATAGTAAACATTGTCTTATTATCCATATCATACTAAAAGCCATAACAATTTTTATTTCATTGCTTACAGAATAATCACTCTTGTATGTTATAGACAACTCTGATACAGTCGACCTAAAACTTCTATCTCTAGCGATAAGTAATAAAATTAAAAGGGTGTGGATGTGGATCGTCTCTATACTTACACCCACTCACATCCACACATCATCAGATCTTATCAACATTTCAATCAAGTACCATCCTATATGTGTGAACCGGTTTATCTCCAATACATGGATAAATCAATTATTCATTCCAGATATAATCAATATTCATTCGAATAGCTCTCGCTCAACAGTCATGAGTTATTTTGAACTACTCTCCACATTCTATTCAACGCTAATAGATCAGTTCAGAATGTCATAGATGATTTCTCATTCAAATTCAGGAAGAACTTTCATTTGCATTAAACTCAATAGCCAACATTGTACGTCAAGATAATGAGTTTATACGAAAAATATTTTATAGTAATCAACTGCAAACAACATTCAAAACACCAAATATATTTGAATATGTCTCTTTTAGACCTGGTAATCCTACAGGTCCTGGGTTACATTTTCCTCCAAGCATTACTTATACGAATGAGAACACGTCATGCAATGGTATTTTTTTGCCTACTTGTTCCGCTCAATCAATTTAATTTAATGTCATTGACGTAATGTAAGCTTCGATTTCAAATAAAAAATTTCTCTCAGAAAAAGCTGCACAAGAATTATGAATAGTAACAATACCTTAACTGAAAATAAAAAAGTTCGACCTTGTTTAGTTATAATGGTGGAAGTTTGTTTCATATCCGAAGTTCTCCAGTATTATTTCGTTTTGAGTGACTGAGAAATCTTTGCACAAGCACTAAAAAAAATGAGAAAGTTGCTTTTGTGATAAGAACAAAACAGATTTTGACTTTTAACTCATTGATTTCTTCCTAAAACGCTATTGGTTAAGCCTAGGAGTGATTAAAAGGATATGATTCTAAAAAAGTAATAGAATAAATGTCAAACTGTAGTTAAGAAAATTGAAATAAAATGAAGGCAATTCAGACGTTATTAGTTTTCAACATCTATCTTGCTAAGTTTCAATTGCCAATAAGAATGGCACTAAAAAGAGAGCTTTACAACTAATAACTTTTTAAACACTGTCTCGTCAATTGCTGTTGATTGATGAAATAATTAGGCAATAAATGTTCAAAATGACTTTCTCTTAGCAGTGTTTGTTTATAGTCTTAGTAATGATCTTATAAGAATATTTGTTTCTTGAGCAAATCAGTTTTTTTAGATATTTAATATTTATAAAAACATCGTTTATGTCATCATAAAATCATTCAGTTAAGGTACACATGATGACCTATCTAATAAGACATAAAGATAGCAAGATACAGGATTGGTTATGAGAACTTATATTGAATATCTTTTCTGGTAAATTTTTCTCATATTCTTGATTATTAAATACTTTTTCAAAAACTCCAAGAATTGTAATAATTGAAGTTTTCGGAAAAAAACCTTTTTTCCTAACAGGATGAAAATAAGAGGGAGTACAATCAATCAAAATTTCTCAACGAAAAAAGTTTTTATTTCAACAAAATAGAAAAGATTAAAAGTGAATTCACATCTTTGGCAGGCTAGAAATAGGTTTAGAAGGTGACCGTACTGACAAAACTCGTCAGCAGTTTTTACTTAATTTCTTATTTGAAACTTATGAAAACTACTTCATTCAAAAAGGTCTGCTTCATTACTTGTAACAAGTTTCTTGTAAGAATCCAATTGAGTTTCGTGTTGCATGCTATGCAATCGAAGGCCTTCTTCACTTTACACTTGAATGCTTATTCGATCCAACATGTATACAATCCATGTTCATTGCTTTTCCAAACATCAATATCACTAGTATGTATGAGCTAAGACGCAATGAAATAAAATGTCCTCCTAATCCAACCGTTGAAGCACTTGCGAACAAATAACTCATCAATAACTGGTTCATAATTAGTTCGTTCTCCAACTATTATCAGAAGTGTGCATCTATCTTATGCACGTACACTTACAGCCAAACAGACATTGTACTGTTTGTTTTGACGACACTCTCTGGTCTTCTTGGTGATCTTACTATTGTTCTACGCTTATGTGTACTTAATATCGTCACATGATGTTACAATCGATTTTTTGGTGCAAGAAAGTCTGCAATAAGTAAGCTCAATATTTCAAATATAGAAATGAAATTCTTTCTCGTTTTTAGGAGTTCCTATAGCAGAAGGTATTTGAGCAACATGGCGGGAAATGAAAACAGTGACATTGGAAATGAATCTTTTCGAAACTACTGAAACAAGCAGAGATCCTTTTGAATTGGCTACTGCAAGAATTACGACTCATGTTTATTTTTATTTTTAATTATTTCAGCATCTATCGTTATTTTCTACGCTTCAATCAGTCTGCGAATGCAAAACAAAAATATTCAGAATCCTTCAGAAGCAACCTTTCACTCTTTGTATGAAAAATATCAAAGTACACTTCATTGTCCATGTACTGATATCACGATTTCGTACGGTTCATTCATTTCAATATCACCCGTTTTTCATCCAATTTTTACATGTTGGTTAGTGCCCAAAGAGTGGATTCAATATGTAACAAAGATAAAGTCTTATCAAAATGACTACTTGGATGAAGATTTTCGTAGCAATGCTTCTAACTTTTTTAATGTCTTAGCTACCTTATGTGCTTTGACTAATACGACTATCACCAATTCATGGCACGTTGTCAATCACTCTATATTGATGACTGATGAAGCTTTGACAAGGAAATATTTATTCGTTCGTGCAGACGCAGCTGTTAATCTATTTCAAACGGGTACACTAGCAGAGTTTAAACGTAGTCTTGCGATTATTAATTTGCAAATACAAAGTATACATATTCCAGATGGAGGAAATATCATGCAAATATCCTTTACTATTGCAAATTGATTGCAATTCAGAATCCTAATATGTATGCATTTGCACAGTTACGTGCTTCTTAGTAAGACTTAAAGTAATTAAATTTTTTCTTAGAAATATTAATACTGTAGGAAAAAATTTCTCATTAATTAGATCACAGATATAGATGTACACAAGTAGTGCAAGAAAAGTGAATCTGCAGTCTGTTGTTCCCAAATACAACGAGGGACATGTGAACATGCTATTATGAATTTTTGAATCTATGAAATCCGAATTTTCAACGAATGTTTGAATTTTTGATATAATTTATAATAGTGACGTTCGAAAAGTTCATTTTTATCCTCTCCTAATATGGTCTTGTCGGTTCGGCGACATCGATCGCCACAGATACTTGTCTATGATGATCTCTTGAGTGCGTGATAAATCATAAGCAACATCACAAATAGTGTTGTGTCCATACCAAGTGTCTCTATCACGCTTTACTTATTAGTTCTTCAGAAATTGCCCTAGCTGCATTCTAGTTATTATGTAGTTCTCTTAGAGTCAGATGGAAAGCTTGTTTATATTAGAATACTTGAGAAAAGTATCCATACAGAACCTACAACTTTTCAAGGAAAATAAAAATATCAATATGCTTTACATAGTTTTTCTTTCAAATAATTTCTGATAGGGTGTGGGTTTACGCACAACCAAGTATCACAACCAATTGTACATGTGCAATCAATGATACATGTGTAGATCAGATAAGTCTCTATAGATATTTCAACCTGGATTGGCCAAGAGTTATTTATTCTATTTCGAATTTATCTGATGGATGTTTCTCGATTGATTCCGTTCGTCTTGCATCTATGGAGTTTTTTTAATCAATCTTGCTTGAATATCATAATGGAGCTGTTGAATGAATTCATAGTCTCATCGATGGACACACCAGCACTGGTGTCAAATAGTAGCCGATTTGCACCAAATATTTTAATGGGTAATGTTATAGATGAACTCATGATCGATCAATGGAATGTGAATATTGACTACAAAAGCTACTATAATCAATGTAAACCTCTTCAATGTTCATATACATTGACAACTCGTGATGACGGCTTGTATATACTCTCAAAATATTTTCACAAATCATTGTTAGACTAATACTTAATCGAATGCGACCACAAATGGAACATATTGCTACTGACGGCAAGTCATAGGCATTGTTAGTGCAATGTCTATTTCAGTTATTCATCCTCCTTGGAAAATCTAAATCAGACTAAATAGCATGTTTTGACGAATATCAGGGCTTTTTCAAGTTTGTCCATATTCTTTCCCATGCAGCAAAATCCTCTTAAAAAGTTTTATTACGATTTGTTAGGAAACTTTCACTCTTTTCAATTCATTAAAAGTATTTTTTTAAACACCACTTCGACTGTTTTATCACATTCCATACGATGAATTCATATATGAAGGTGTAAAAAACCGTTTTTGTCGAAAATTTTGCTTTTCATCTACCATATATTTGTCAATTTTTGACGAATCCACTGTGTATGTGGTTGAACAATTCATTATCATGAATCGTTTGTTTATATTTCAGTCAAGCTTAATTTCTTTGATTGTGTTCGTCATCTGATGTATTCGCTGAAGGAATATGTACTTCAATTAAATCTCTTTGAGAGTAAACTATCGCGAAATAATAATGAACTTCGTCAAACAGAAATCATTACTACTCAACTCTACGTGCTTTTGCTCTTTGTCTGTATTATGATTGCATCAAGCATCTTTCAAACTCGAGTTTTCACTGTGAAGAGTCCATCAAAACCAATTTTCGATAAACTTGATTCGAATTCATGCTACTTACCTACTCTTGATTATCCTTGTCGGAACCTTACTATCTCATGCAATCTCTTTGCTTGTGCCTCTCCTCATTTTCATCAAAATCTGTTCAAGTGATTTTGTCACCCCAACTTCTCTATGGATCCAACTTTTTTCTTCCTTTCTGTTCAATTATGACTATTCCTAGAATGATTTTCGACTTTTCGTTGTGCCACAATTTCGAGGGTTCGCCTCTTTATGCACCATCGCTCAAGTGGCAGTGACGAATTCGCTATCGACATTTATGTTTAATACACTGATTACTAAACGAGCTGAGCCCATTGAGACTATTCAATCCCAAATAATTTCAGCTGTCGAAAATTTTCAATTGTCGACAAGTGAAGTATTTATCCTGATGTTCGATTATATGAAAGATATTGCGAAGAGCAACAGACTCATCACATCAACACTATCCAATTGGCGTCTTGAAAACTACATAATAGATTCGATGCAAGAATCAGGAGAAATTCCCGTGTCACTACGTTCATATGAAAATGAAAGTTGTTTTTGTGGTAATAGTCCAACATGTTCATCACCAGCAGCTATCGATGAATGGATTGTTGCCGACTTTCGAGGGGGATGTTATCCAATCGAATCTCTTCTTCAGTCCACACTTGAATGTCTCTATAATATCACATGTATCAACAAGATCAAACGAAATGATTCTACATCCGACATGATCTTTCGTGCTCTCGATTCTACTCTATCATCTCCGAGTGTCACCGTTCAGTCTCTAGTGAATGCTCTTATGACTGATCAATGGGAAACAAATATCACCTATGAGGATTACTATAAAACGTGTGCTCCTCTATCTTGTACTTATTCACTCATCATGCGATTCGATAGCATATATGTGTTTACAACTATTATGGATCTTTCAGGTGGACTGACTGTTGTACTTAAGCTGTTTGTTCCACTCGTTGTCAAAACTGGGTGATGGATTACAATGTGTCGTCGAAGACGTGTTCAATCGATGACCAATACAGCTACTGACAACACTTGAAAGCAAGGATGAGAGTGAGCGTGTAAGTTCAGAAAAAAATTTTGTTAGCAACTACGATGCATTTCAATCTTGCTAAAGGGTCTGATCAGGTAGTATATATTTGTCTGCATCTGCTTATATATACAATCGAATGGTTAACTAAATCAGAAAACCTTCAGCATATTATTTATAATAGTTTTGAGCAAACGCTGAGCGACGTTTGATGATCATGATGACTGTCGCGTTCCTCGCATCTGTGGGACTGGTAATAGATGTAGGTGTGGGTATCCGTGCGGAATATCAATGTGACTATGCGTGTGTTCAGATTAAATGAATCCACGCTCACACCCTCTTTGATTCAGATATGGTTCTATAGAGATACACAAGTGATGATTTTTATCTTTACTTTTATGGTCGAAGTATTTTTTTGATGAGCACTTTATTTTGATTATTTCATAAATATTCAAGATGAAAAGTAAAGAACTTATTCAATAAATAATGGATGTGGGTGTGTGGATCGGGGTCTGGGTGTAGTTAAAAGAACACTCGCACCCATATCCTTGAATTCATTGACTCATGTTTATATAGTTATGGGAAGGTGAAACTTATATTAAAACATAATTAATATTTTGTTGAATCTTCCGATCCTCAAATTTAACAGAAACTTCTTCAAGATTCAACACATACAGCAATGTCAACTAGTAACAACATCGAATATGATTGATATCAAAAGAAGCCAAGAAGAGTCTTCTGAAAATATTCTATCTCACCTAATTCCCGTAAAAAAAAGAGCACCGTAATCGAAGATATTCGATAGCTCAATGAAAAAAATGATCATGATGAAGATGATCTTGATGACTAATAAAATTGTTTCATTCGAAGTTCTTTCAAATAAAATTGAACTATTACGAAAACAATGTCAAATACTAGAATATCTATTATACTGGATGAATATGTAATTTTTGTCGTGATACCAATTTAAACAAAAATTAAATATTGAACTTCGATTCGATGCTATTTTACGATCGAATCAAGAACAAAGTTTGAGAAGTATGTTTGACAATGGACGTGCACGATCTGGACTGATTATTCTTTCATGTGATACTGGGAAATCTCTTATTTGCATTAGTACGTATCCAATAGTGGCTCATCTCGATCGATCTAATGATCCGAAAATGGCAGATGCAGTAAAATGACTTAAAAATCATGGATGGAATTTAGTGATTCGTGATGAAGTTCATACAATAGCAGCGGAAAAATTTCGTAAAGTTCAGACTATCGTACGTGTTCACACAAAATTAGGTCTAACAGCAACATTAGTTTCAGAAGATGGTAAAATAACTGATTTAGACTTTTAATTGGACCTAAATTATACGAAGCAAATTGGATGAAATTACAAAATGTAGGTCATATTGCTAAAGTTGTATGTAGTAAAGTAAGATGCCCCATGACATCAGATTTTTTTAAAGAAAAGAATATATATCAGTTAAAAATGATTCACATCGATGTTTACTTTCATATATCATGAATCCTAATAAATTTCGTGTCTGTGAATTTTCAATATACTCAATCAACCATTTATACATGGAAATACATGAGACATTGAACGTATGCAAATTTTACATGATTTTTAACAATCCAAGAATAAATAAAATTTTTGTTTCAAAAGTTGCTGATATATCATTTCATTTATCTGATAAAAGTGTTATAATACAAATTTTCAGTCATGGAGGATCAAGAAGATAAGAAGCACAATGACTTGATCGAATTTCAAGACTTAAAAAAGGAAGCAACATGGAAGAATATAATAGCTTGTTTTTTTGTTCATTTGTTTCTCAAGATAATGTTGAATTGTATTATTCAGCGAAACGACAGAGTTTTCTGATCAATCAAGATTATATATATATAAAGTTATTAGAGGATTATCTCCTCAAGTTGATAAACTATGATTTTCGATGAATGAAGATCCACATCAACTACTACAAGCAACTTCGTTAATATAAAGACTTGGATAAGCAATCATGTATCTCAGAGCATGTAATCAAGAAAAACAAATATTCACACACATTACAACAGCATCATCAAATAAAACGATACGTGAAATATGTAACCAACATCGAAAATAATACTTGTTTTTTTATGATTCTATGTGATAAAAATGAAATATGAAAGAGTTGAATTTTTCTCTCTTGATAATCATATGCATTCTGAAATTCCGAAAACAACAAACGAAACATTCTACTCCTTCGCCTTTTTCCAACAAAATTAAAAATGCTTTTCTTCATTATCAAACGATTATTCTATTTTATAAATATAATATAATGACACTGAATCATATATCGGTTATTGTGTAGTTTTCATTTTTTGCTTAAAATGTTTTGCTCTGGCAGATCGATATCGCCATCAATCCGCACTTTTTTCGCCATCGCAACATGTATTTGATCAAAAAAAAAAATTTTTTTTTTCGAAAAAATGAAGCAAAAAACAAACATTACAGTAGACTTTATCTATTAATAAATTCATTAGCTTTTCGAAGTAAATTTTGTGTTTCTTCATGGTTAACTAAATTACATGCATCATGGAAATTTGACCAACTCAAATCTTGATGTTCATCTGATAGATTTATTTTTTGTTGAATATTTTTAAGACGTGCTAAATAATAATAAACGTCTTTTGGTTTTCCATTAGCATTATATGTAATTTTTTCTTCGAATTTATCATAATATTCTAAATCATGTTTATCTAGACCAGCTTCTTCTCTTGTTTCACGTTCAGCTGCTTCCAATGGAGTTTCACCATTCTCTAAATGACCTTTTGGTGGTGTCCAATATCCACCATCAGCAGCTTGTAATAATAAATATTCAGTAGGTTTTTGTTCTACTTGTCGAAATATGACAAATCCTGCAGATACATTCATATTCGTGGTAAGTTGTAACAAGTAACTTCAATCGTCAATGCTGAAGGCACGACATGTGTTCTGTCTTTACACTTTCCGTTATAGAAAGAGAGAACGCAAGAAAGAAATGTGTGATGTGAGATATCAATCTCACTTCTACTTTATTTCTATAAGTATATCTCTCTCCCTATCTACGCAACAAAGTAACGCTATATATAGAGTGATAAGGAGGATTGGAAAATCCCATAAAAGATGAACAAGAAAAAAATCCATATAATAACATAAAAGAAAGAAGAAAAAAAGGAGAGGACAAGTCCAACATACATAGTAGGAAGGGAGAAGTTCATGATACATGACTAAACAATAAGAGAAAAGAAGATGAACGTAAGTTCATAGGTATAATTCTACAGAAAAGAGGGAAAATCCTTATGATTGCATCTGAAGAAGATGCAGATCATAACATGTGAGAACAGCAAAAAATGTCTTGCCCTCGACATCGACGAATAAAGTTACTTATTACACTTTATCAAGAGCTAAATGATCAATTCTGATCAAATAAATGCTACAATGACGAAAAACGTGTGGATTGATGGCAACATCAGTCTGCCAGAGCAACATCTTTTTGAAAAAGAGGAATAAGAAACTCTCATCACTGCTCTGAGATGAATTAAATTACTACAGCAAGTCATACATTGTTGAATGGTTTACTGAAACAACGATTTAAAAGAGAAGAAGCGCTTATTCATTATCGTAGAATATCGTCATAAAATCATGTACATTGTAAGGTTGATGACGAGAGCAACTAAGAGTGCTATCTCTATTACTAATGAAATGGTTATGGAGTTTCTCAAACTGATAAAAAACGGCTGGTAAGAACAATCACCGATGTGTCAAAGATAAGAAAGATATTTTCGATTTTTGATCAAGACTATCATGAGCAAAGTTTTGACTTGTTGGGGTGTTTTTTACAGTGAAAAGTTTCAACGATATCGAGTTGCTCGAATCAGTATATCGAACAAGTCTTGTCTTGATTCGTGGTGATGTTATTTATTGATGTAACGAGCAAAGGTAGTAGTTGAAATATTCTCGAATTGTCTTTTTTTTTTATGAAAATTATTTTCCACAGTTGAAGCAAAACTAATGAACAATATTATTCGTTTTTAGAATGATCGTTCAATTACAATTAAATAAGGAGAAAATGAACTTTTTGTCTCGATTTATTGTTTTATCTATATACATATATATTCTTTAGTTTGAATATTCATATTAATCATAAGTTTTCAAAAATCGATATCTTGTTGTTGTGAAAGTTTCGGAACGATTTCACAATAAATTAAAATTACGAATTTAATTGAAAGTTGTTTTGACGAAAAAAAAGCATTTCTGATGAAAGACATCGAAAACGTTTGTATTATAGTTAAAAAACACTTTTTTGGTATTAGGTGTTCAATTAATCAGTCGTAATCAAAAACAAAAGTCAATAGAAAATTTAGAAATCAAAACTTGATGAAAATTTATTTCAAATTTACAAAAGAGAATTAAGGGTGGGTTGTGAGTATGGGTGGATGTGGGTAGGTATGGACGTAGATATTTTTCTACTGTTCATGTCACAACCATACCCACACACGCACACTCACCCACACCCGCGTTTTTTGTTTCAAAGACATTCTGTCTTTCAGTTTTGCTGACAAGAAATATTTCTGCTTGGCGAGTCAGAATCAGTAGAACCCGAAAATTATACTACGTAATTAAAAAAAAAATAATGGTTGCAAAAGCATATAATACATTCGCTCATTTATTCAATGTTACGACTTGTTGTTGATTGTGTCGCGCTGATATCGGTCTTCCTTAATTGCCTGCACTTTTGTGTTGGAAAAAACACTCATTGCTTATGATGAGGTTTTCTCCCTTCGTTTACATTTATGTGCGAAGTGTGGGTCGGCGTGGGTGTTGATGTGAGCTGTGGATGTGTTGGTGTAGGTGGGTGTTGTTGTGGTTTCTGTAGTAGTTGTCGTTGTTTCCGTGGTGGTCGTTGTTGTCTCCGTA